TTTACAGGGCAGATCATCAGTTTTACATTCAACAAATCATACACCTTGTTTCATTACAATGATTATAATCCCCTCCATGTACCATCCGTTAACAGTATTTCTCTCTATTCATTTTAGCTCCTTTAAATAAAAAAAAAACCACTCCAACATATATCATAATTTATACCACCAAAGGGCACATTCTGCAAGTCTGCCTCCTGGCTGCCAGCTCTTAGTCACTCTCTTCCCATGAATCTAGAGTCCTCAGCTGCTCTGTCTCTCCATGTCCCCATCTCTGCCTCCACCTCTGGTGTCCCTGCTTCTCTGGATAGGGCCCCACGTTCCACTTGTGCTCCTTTCCCTTGATGGTTCTAGGGTCCTCTGTTTCTGGACTGTAAGATTAACTACTCCCCCATTTTTGTTATGAAACTTCTACCTTTACCATTGTGACAGTCGCAATTAGTCATGATAATTATTCACTATTGAATCATAACAGTCCCCATCTCTTTTTACCAGACCCATCTAGACAATATGAAAACTATTCAGTGGGGACTCTACCTTCCCCCACACACAAACTCTTATACTAAACTCCCTCTTGAAACCTTGTAAGCCAGTCACTTCGTGCCTTTATTGCCCCCTCATTTTAGGTAGCCAATGTCTAAGTTGCCTGTCCCTATCTACCCTGTGTACAGAGGGGGATAGCATTGATGCTTGATGTGAAGACTTCTTCCCTTTCTAGTGGTATTTAGAGATACTACTTCCATGAGTATAGGTCAAGTTCATCAAATTGTAGCAATTTACCCTCGTTTCCTTTCATCATTGCATCTTTTATTTGAGATCTTCAAAGTATTTTTTTAAATCCACAGGAGAACTGGACTGAACCCTACTTTAAGCTTTGCTAAACATTTAGGACCAAAAAGTAAATAAAGATTATAAGGAAGATAAAGAGTTACGATTGAGAGAAAAGAAGAAAAGGGCAATTTGTTATGAAAGTCCAGTACCAAGTAGACTATATTAAAAAATACACATCATTCAAAATTATGAAAACAGGAACATGAGTCACACAGAGCCAAGCAGTTTTAGAAATAAAACTTATTTAGAAAATCAGAGAGCCCACATGGAGACTATTGGGAGGGGAAGAGCAGAAGGAAAGATGAGAAAATGCTGACAGGTATTCTTCCCTGAACATAAAAGAGTAATCTGTTTCTCCTAAGAATGGCCTACTCACACCCCACTTCTCTCCTGAGAGACGGGCGCCAGCCACACCTCAGGCAGAAGGACAAGTGCCTTTTCTTCTGTGATTCATGTATAATGACTGTGTCTACCAATTGCCACTTCTTACTAATGCAACTAAGGAGCCCTGGTAGGGTACTGGATTATGAACTGGGCTGCTAACCAGAAGGTCAGCAGTACCAATCTACCAATAACTCTGTGGGAGAAAGATGAGGTTATCTGCTCCCGTAAAGACTAACAGCCTTGGAAAACCTTAGGCAGAGTCGCTATGAGTCGGAACCGAGTGTGTGGCACATAACCACCAGCAGCAGCACCTAGCTGTCTTTAAATTAAAGCCTACCCTATAAACAATTACAAACAATTTGTTTTCTTCAAAAACTTCTTGCCAGTAACTGGATGATGCTATCTTTTATAAACACTGTTAAACAAGTCACAGCAGATTCTGCAGACCCCATTTTAAAACCCCCAGGGAGAGATTTACACAAAGAGTTATCAGTCAAACAATCAATAAG